TTCCTATGAGGTAGGTACTCTCATTAGCTATACTTTACAGGTAAGTCTTTACAGAGAGGTTAAGTCATGGGCCTAAGTTACTTAACTAGCAAGAGTTGGAGTTAACATCAGGATCGGGACAACCCTAGTCCTGAGTCCAGCCCCCTGCACTTACGGCCCCCAGAGAGTCTGACGGTTTCTGCATGGTCCCCGCCAGGCTGCACCCTGGGTCACTACTCCAGAGTGCACTTTCCCCTTGTGGGCTATGCAAATAGCGCCTTCCTTCCTCCATGTCTCCCTGTGGAAATCTCTAGACAGCTCCTGGGTGATCTCTCCCAGCCTGTCCTGAAGCCAGCCTTGGAGCTTCCCTCTGAGGAAGCAATGACCACACTGTATCGTGATGGTCTACTTGCTTATCTGTTCCCCCAGCCAGGCGGAGCCCCTCCGGAACAACGCGGTATCTCTGGCACCTAGTGTACTTGGCACACAATAAACAGTCAAAAATGTGAGTGAAATAAGTAGCCCCCAAAGGCGCCTGGATGGGCATGTGCATGGCCATTCCTGAATGAAGTGTACCGTGTGGCTTTGCCCACAGGAGTGTTTGAAAACATCCCCTTGAACCTATGTTAGAGACAGAAAGCTGGTTGAAGGGATTCTTTTTTCAGGCTCGCAATCCTGTGACCTTGAATTTGGGAATAATACTAAGGTCAAAGGGCAAGGGGCCAGCGCAGAGTGCTCGGTGAGTTAAGAATGCTGATGGAATGATGGCGTTGTCCAAATTCATATTCACACCCCAAGGTCAGGGCTGAGCCAGGCGGGTGGGGCTGATCGCCTTAGTGCTGGCAACCCCGCAGGTGTGCAGCAGCTGCTGCCCCCCAGGTCCCCCTACCACAGCTTCTGGGAAACAGTTCCTCCTCCACACTGGAAAGTTCTGGAATGCCCTGGAGGGATGAACGGGGAGCTGAATGAAGAACCTCTGTTCACTAGTCATGAGTGTGTGGTGATTCCTGCGTGGTGATTGCCTTAGGGGAGATAAGGCAAAGGGTGAGCCTGTGCTGTAGACCTTCCTTCCCAGGCCCTCCTCGAAATGCAGTCGGCATGGTGTTTTGCCGGTGTGTTTGACCACTCCCCCGATAATCTTATAGACTGTGCTGTCCAGGATGGTAGCCACTAGCCCCATGTGGCCATGGAGCACTTGAGACATGGCTGGCATAACTGAGCTAGTGGACCTCTAATTTTGTTTAATTTTAATGAATTTAAGTAGCCGCATGTGGCTAATGGTACCATATTGCACAGTGTAGCTATAGAACATTTCCACCATTCCTGGTTCTACCCAGCAGCACCACTCTAGATGGTTTCTGCTTTAATGGCAAGCTTAGCATCATCGAGAGAGGAGTCAGGAGCATCTGAATTCATGTCATAACCAAGGTGGAGCTATGGCAACTTGAACAAGAGGTACGTATTCCTGTGTACACGCACACAAACACACGTATCTCCACCCCGAGTGGCTACCATAGACGTTTTTGATCCCTCCTCTTCCCAACTCTGGATTTAACTCAGAGGTCTATTTTTCTTAAGTTTTTGCTATTTCCCCTTTTCCTTTAAGACGACATTGACACTGATTGACCTCATTGAAGGGAAAGTCCGCTGTGTTGCCAAGGAACATTGGTGTATTTTTTCTGCAGCTGGCACCTCTGAGGGACTGCAGTCTCTGAGGTCTTCTGTTTTGCAAATATGGGTGAGACAGCCACATGCCTGGTCCTCCAACCCATGACTCCACCAGGGAGAAGGAAGTGACTGGGGAGGGCTGGGCCTCTGTGTGCCCGAGAGTCCCTGCACCCAAGTCTTCTGAGCGGTGTCTGAGCGAGGGTCATGCATAACCTAATGTTAAGAAAGTAATCGACTCCAGCAAGTGAGGCGACCAGCATGGCTTCTAATTTTCAAAGTATTTTATTTAAATAAGTTTTTCTTTTGTGTGCATTTGGATTTTACAAAAAAAAAAATACTGACAAATACTATACAGCTTGGACCATTTATAGTCTCAAAGAGGTTACAGCCCTTTCTCTACGTCTTCCCCTCCCCTCCCCTGTGGAATAAAGAATGTGGACCCGCTGGGCACTGGATGGGGGGACCTCCTCCAGGTGTCGGCCAGTCTGGCGTAAGCTGCTTGGAATTCTGCACCTGGGGGGCCTCCTCCCCAAGCCTGTGCTGGTCTAGGAAGCCTCTTCTTGAAGAAAAACTTCCCCAGATGAGTTAAGCAGGCTCCAGCCCTGAGGTCCCGTGGTTGCCAGTGGCAGTTCTGGGACAGAAGCCAGAAAGGAGTGAAAATGGAGAAGAATAAAGGGATGAGCACGGTGGCCCTGGGAGGAGAGGGAATGAGAGAAGCATAGAACACGGAGAGAAAGACGGGAATAAAGTGAGAAAAAGAGAGCGGGCACCAGCAATTGCCTCGGGGGCCTTTTACTCAACAGAGTTTTGCGGGCCTACTGTGAGCCTGGCGCTGTTCTAGGTACTCCAGGAAAGGTCATCAGGGGAGGCTGGGGCGGGGAACAGGCAGGCCCCATTCAGGGTTGGGGTCTTCTGGGTCCTAGGCTCTGGGAGCAACTGAGAGGTGAGTGTCTGGGTGTTCTGTGCCTGCAGCTAGAGCAAGTCCACTCAGGAGGCCGCAGGGGCGCTGTGCCTGGAGACGGGCCTTGCGGCGCGATGCGGACTGACTGCTGTCTTAATTCAAAGGAACAACCAGTTGTCATGGAAACTACGTTACTTGTACGGTCCCTGATCCTGGTGGTCCACTCCCCAAATCACATCTGGCACCCTGTCACTGAGATGACAGCTGATGTCAGCCTCCACGTCTCCCCATGGCGTCCAGTTTAGGGGGACTGAGAGGTGGAGACAGGAAGGGTAGCTCGTCCTGGTGGGCAGCAGGAGACGTGGTGGGGCAGCTAGTCATTGTGTGATGTGAAGGGGACAGCCAGAGGCTCCACGACAAGCTCTCCACATGACAAGGGAACAGAGAATCAGAAAATTAAAGGGGCTTATGAGTGGGGGCGCTGAGTGCCCAGGCAGTTTATGGTCACATAGGGTGAATATGACTGGCTCTAAAATGTGTGCAGGTCTGAATTATGTTCACAGGGTCACCTGTCAGACAGCCCTGGCACAAGAGTCACCACTAGACGCCCACCCTGCACAGGCCTGGAGTACACCTGGAGGGCAGGTGAGTACCAGGTGAGCCCAAGTGAGCAAATAAACTACATTTTTCCATTAACACAATCTCATAAAATTTTGGTTCTTACTACCATAAATATAATAGTTTAGCTACATTATTAATTAGACAGTGATTTTGCCACTGTTTAGAACAGCTTCCCTGGGGAAATATTTCAGGAGAGCTTCCCAGTAGATTTGCAAATGAACTTTTAGAGCACAACTTGATCCCAAGTTGAGAATTGTCCATCTCTGTAATATGGTCGCAATACAATCAAAATACCAACCAGTTCATCCTACAAATGGCTTAACGCTGCCTCCCGACCCCAATCCAGTGGGGGAAGCTCTTCTCAACTCACTTCAGATCTGGTTTACATGTCCTCACGTACCGAGGGCACACGTGTCCCCTCGACCATTGGTTCTTCGTGTACTCTTGCAGCATTCAACTTAACCTCGACCATTGCAGCAATTAGCAGGCTAATTTAGAAGAGAAGGTCACTTGGGGAGAACTGCTGAGGTGTGAGTTTACTCTTAACATCATCAGATATCCAACGGCAACCACAGGTGGTTATGAGTACCAACTGTGTACAAGGCACCTGCCTGAGCTTCAAGATAAATGTTAATAAACCTTGTTACAGTTTCATCCTATTTTCATTTAAACTCCATTACTTCTGCATCCCTTCTGCAACATACCGTGGGCCCATCACAGCCTTGTGGAATCATTTCCAACCTGCCTTCTGTGAGACCACACCGGTGATTGTCTTACTTCCTTCCCTGCTGGAAACCTCCGGTTACATAGGAGATCCCAGCTCAGGTGAGCATCTCCTTATCCTTTTCACCTGTAAAGCACACATCGCACAGGTACAACACTGCAGCGCACTGAAGTGAATGAGTGGGTTTCCACAGCTTTCTAGCAGTCACTACCAAGAGCTGTTTGTTTTTGCTTGGAGAAGGGCACCTTGCTGAGTGGTTCTGGGGCCAGCATCTCAAAGAGAGGTCTTGGACCACATTAAACACCAGTGGTAATGAGGACCTTGTCATGTGTTATGAGAAAAGAGCTTTCAATGAATTTTGATCCTTCACATTTTAAATGTTTCAGCACAGGTGAGGGGTCAGAAGCGCAGGAACTTGGTGTGTCCGTATCAACATACATGAGGGTGGGGAATGTACCAGGTTGCTGGAATGTCCAATTACGAGTATTTCCAGTAAAAGGTTATGTAGAGACAGACACAGGAAAGCACACATCTCTTACCTGAGTGGTGTAAGGAATAGGCAGTGCGTAAGCCCTTGTCTGGTTATATAATTGTACGTACATATGCTTGAATCTGGCCAGGCCTTCCCATGAGATATTTTTGCAACTGTAGATAATATACTTCCTTGCACAAAGTATGCATCCAGTGACCATTTGATGAACAGAATGTACTTGCCCATGTACCTGTTGCCTGAATTGTGTGTGTGTGTGTGTGTGTGTGTGTGTGTGTGTGTGTGTGAGTTGTGCGCACACTCGGGAGCCATATGAAGATGATGTCTGGATACACGTTCTTTGTGCTTTTGCATATGGGGTATGCCAGAGATAGGTGGAAGGCGTGCCTGGGTCTGCACCGCTATTGCACACACAGCTGCCCAGACAGTGCCCAAGAATTGTCCACGTGCTCCCTGGGAGCGCCCTAAACCGGGACACGGAGTCTGAGGTTTGCTCCTTGGTTGAGCAGTTACTCTGTGCCCATGAGTGTGTCACCTCAGGGATTCCTGCTTCTTAGTCTGTGTGTGGATGCAAGAGGCTTAGCCCCAGAGAGGGGACACCTCTGCCTCCTGCCCAACTAGACAGGCAGTGATGGCCTCTTCTCCATCTGCAGAAGCTTGGGCTGAGCAGAGATCCAGAGGTCTTCTTCATCCTTCTTCTTCTTCTTCTTCTTCCTCTTGTTTCGCTCTGGCTGTTGGCTGCTCTTGCCCCGTCGGCTCCAGCAGCAATGGCAGCAGATGAAGAGGAGCGTGATAATCACCAGCAGTGGCAGCCCCAGCAGGACCCCCAGGCAGATGGTGTTGAACAGGCCCTCCTGGTGTTTGGTCGAGATGGTATCCCAGATAGCGCTGAGGAAGGAGCTGATTCTCTCCATGGCGCTCAGCTGGACTGGGGCTGAAGAATCCTCTCAGCTCGCTAGCAAGTCCCGGGGCTCAAAAGGACGCAGCCTTGACTGCTTGTAATTTATTCTTCTTCCAGCTTTGGGCTTGGGCATGCCACCTATGGCACCTGAAGAGATTAAAAGAGACAATTCAAAAGAAATGCAGTGGGAATGGTCTACATTTTTAATAGCATCATAGATTTTAGGCTTAGGAAAGGGGAAGGAATTGAAGATTTCCAGAGTTCACTAAAATTGTATTGAGACTCAATAAACAAGATAAATGCATGTGTTTAGTCAATAAGCATCAACGAATTCTTGCTAAGTACACGCATTATATTGGACTTAGGATATAAAAATAAATAGTATATCAGGTGTGGCACGGAGGAGGTGCTCATCAGCTGTTGGGTGAGAGAATCGGTGTGTGTGTTCAGTGTTCTGGTCAGGGCTGGCTGCCTGGCCCCTCCACAACAGCAGTTCTCAGTCTTTCGTCCACTGCAGCTCACCTGACAGGTGTTGAACACACTCCCCGCGGGACCGTTCTGTCTGTGACCTCCTATTAACATCTTCAAGGCTCGTGAAAGCTTAAGCTCAAGATGAAATGTCTGCGTCTTGCTGCCTGTCGTAGGGACGTGGGCCTCCTCCAGGCGGAGTCATCCGTCCTCATCCTGGCTCGCTCCCGGCACACTTCCTCACGGCCCCTCATCCCCCTTCCCTGCTCCATGCCTCCTCCCCTCCTTACATCCCGCTCCTGTGCCTGCGGTGTCCTCTCCTCCCGAGGCTGGGAGAACCAGGGTGACCATTTGCTGGTTCTCCGCTTTCTACCTTCCTCTCCCTCGTCGCCCTTGTCTCTGCTTCCATCCTGCAACCAAATCTTCCCGAGTCTCCTTCCCTGCCTGCTCCCTTTCTTCTCCGTGGGAAAGGACCTTGCAGGCTGCTTGGTGACGTGCTTGGAAACTGGGGTGGGGTCCCAGGTGCCTCCCTGCTCCTGTCCTGAGCATGGCGTCCAGCTGGGCTGTTCCGGTCGCCTGTGCAGAGCGGCCCCTCTTCCTTTGTCACCCCCCCACCTCTCCATGTGTATCGCAGGGCTCGACTCCCAAGTATGAGGTCGCAGAGGCTCTCTTCAGCTCTGCAATTACAGGTGTTTGTGTCTGAACAAGACTGCAAGGACAGGCATGACTCTATGAAATTTAAGAGACCTCTTGGTGTAAGACATTGCCCCGAACCCAAATATCAAGGAATCATTGATTTTCAGGCTGGACACTTTAGAGATCATCCTGACCAACTCTCTCACTTAAAGATGAAGACTCTGAGGTCCACAGTGGTGAGGTGACATCTGAGGCCATCCAGAGCTGCCTTGAACACCCAGACCTCTGGACAATGGGTCCAGCACTTTCCCAAGGCTGAAAGGCAAGTGGAGGAACTAAGGATGACAATGATGTCCCTTTATATTTGTATTTCACTTGATATTTTTTAGCTCATCTTTACATAAATTTTATCTTTTAAGTGAGGACAAGATGGTGCTATGTCTATGGAGAGTAGCCCTGCGGGGCTGGGCCTCACGGCATTATTTATACGGTTTTTGCAATTGTATAAATTGGCACCTACTGCTGTGCCATTTGGCCCATCGAGCCTGAAGTCATGCTATAAGGTGACAATAATAATTTTATCTAACTTTTATTAAGCACTTCATGTATGGCAGGCACTGTTACAGGCACTGCACACCTATTAACTCATTTAATCTTCATCACAACCTTAAGAAGCAGGTAGTGTTATTCCCCAACCCTACTGCTGAAGAGATGGAGGCACAGGTCACACGGTGAGTGGCAGAGCTGGCCTTGCTCATTCTGGGAGTTTGGCTCCAGATCCCCACAGGGTGAGCTATTTACACGCACTGCTCTGTGGCCTCCCCTTCCTTTTTGTGGAATCAACCCATTTTTGGCAAGCAGCCCAGGGCTTACGAAATCTTACAATACTTGGCCATTCCCCAGATTGACTTAAATGCTTATCCCAGTCTATTGTAGAAAAGACTGCAAAGAGATTTATTTCCCATTGTTAGATACTTCCTAAATGCATGAAGATACATAAAATAGAAACCGAGTCCTGCCCCAGTGCAGGTTTATTGAAAGCATGTGGATGCCTGAACTTAAACTCAACATACCACAAAGAAAAGTCTTCTGAGAAGTCATACGCCTCGCTGGAGGCTCTGCCCAAGCCCCTGAGGGTCTGGGAACATCCCACGGCGTGGACCTGCCCACGTGCCATCAGGCCACCAGGCTCTTGTGGAGAAAAGCAACCCTGGACTGCCCGGGAGCCCCAGCGTTGCTGCCTCTCACACCACGCGTCTTGCTTCTGGATTTTCCTGCTCCCTTTGCCGTGACCTTTGCCTCTGCCTCAGCCTGTGTGGCCAGCATTTTGGGCCTGTTTAGAGGGATTTTTCTGCTCTGTTGTGGGAAGACTTCAGGTGCTTTTCTCCAACTTGATCCTACGCTTAGCTTTCCTGATTCATGTTAGATGACGACACCACAATCACTCACAAATGCTTCTGTGCCAGGGGTTGTGCTGGTCCCTGCGAGGGGTGGGCGGGAAAGAAGGGCATCGGGGACCCTCCTGGCAGAGAGAGGAAGGAGGTCGAGCCCTTGGAGAATATTAGGGCAGATTTCATGTAGGTGGAGCCGCTTGAGGAGGACCTTGAAGATGAGTAGGATTTTGACAGAGAGACATGGGTGAAAAGGGTGGTTGAACATTCCGGAAAAACTCTAGAACAGGAGGAAGGAACAGGGAGGCTTCTGGTGAGCCTGGGGCGCACATGGGAAAGGAGAGGGCGGGAAGGAAAGCCAGAGAGGCAGGCGTGGCCAGGGGAGAAAGGCCTTCATAGGCACATCCGTGCACAATGGGCACATCACAGGGTTTGTGCTTATTTGGGGACTTCACAGCAGGAGAATGTTGGGCTCAGAGCTGTCCTTCAGGAAAAGATAACAAGATGTGAAAAGCTCTGGAAAATGTTCTAAGAAAGCTCTTTATCCATTTATCAAACATTCACTGAGCACCTAACATGTTGCACGCACTGCTAGGTGTCGAGGATACAGTAATGAATGACAAAGAGATGGTTTCTGACATTGTGGAGGCCGGTCCATTCCAGGGGAGTTATTATTATTGAAGGATCAAGTCATAAAAGCCAAATATAATAAGCACATTCCAACTTAGATTGCTTAGTTGGCTGAAATAAAAGCATGCATTTGAATTATGTGTTTATCTCAATATCCCAGGTCCACCTACCCCTCCCAAGCTTTGTCTTAAACTTGTCCATCCCATGGAACCTAAAATAGCCTTTGAATAAATAGATTTCTTTTCAAGCTAAAGCTAAGTCAATAATTCACTTCTGGATTCCTAAAGGTCTTATTTGAGTCTGCTCTCCATACAGCCAAAGAGAATATTCATTAACATTTGGGAACCTGGTCTGGGGAAAATTCGATTAAAAGGTATTCTTTATATTTTTTAATCTAAGAATTCTTTTCTAGGCCCCCTGGTTACTTGCTGAGCTCTGCTAATCTATAGTGTTTCATTAGTATTTATGAGTCTTGCATTATTAGCATTTCTAGGAAACAATCAAATATCTCCTTGGTGGTATGAATTAAAAAGTTAGAGCTTCCATGGAATGTTTTGCAAAAGAAGCCACACTTGGGGCCCTTGGAATGCACTCTGGGAGACCCTTTCCTTTTGTCAGCTTTCATACCGCTGACACTGTTTGAAAAGTAATTCATCTATTCTTGTAAAACCAACAATAGGTGCCAACCAAACTCATTTGTTTGATTGTGATTGTGGGGGTGGGTGTGTGAAGAGAGAAGAGGAGGAATGTTACTTTTAATTTTCTTCCAACCAAATATTATTATTATTTTTTATTTTCTTTTGAGACAGAGTCTTGCTCTGTTGCCAGGGCTAGAGTGCAGTGGTGTCAGCATGGCTCACAGCAACCTCAAACTCCTGAACACAAGTGATCCTCCTGCCTCAGCCTCCTGAATAGCTAGGACTACAGGTGAGTGCCACCATGTCTGGGTAATTTTTCTATTTTTAGGAAAGACGGGATCTCACTTTTGCTCAGGCTTGTCTCGAGCTCCTGAGCTCAAGTGATCCTCCTCCCTTGGCCTCCCAGAGTGCTAGGATTACAGGTGTGAGCCACTGCACCCAGCCGAAACCAAGTATTATTTATCTTTATATACTTTGTGGTATCTGGCTAAGGACAGAGAGTCATTCATTCATTCTTTTTGCCGTAAGCTTCTATCTGCTCATGTATGAGGTGTTGCTGGGAAAGAGTGATTTGGAGCCAGATGACCTGGGTTTGAGCTCTGGGTCAACCCACATGACCTTGGAGAGTTCCCGAGCCTCAGCTACAAAATGAAGCTAATAGGCTTCCTTCGTAATGCTGTTGTGAGGATTTAAAAGACTCAATATTTTTAATGCATTTGGTATACCGTAAAATACTATACGAGCATAATCGATACAGTAGAGAGTTATCTCCAAATAACAATGGACTAATTCTAGCCTTGAGCTTTTCCTCACCATCCTCACCTCCAAGCCCAATCTTGCTCGCCAAAGAGCCACAGGCCCCCACCCCATTCACATGAAAAGGGCTTCACAAGTAATCTCCCTGCTTGTGGCTGGTCTGCAGGTCTGTGACTGTCATTCTAGAGCTGGCAACCAGCCAGAGGATAGAAAAGGATCACTCGGGAAACATCTGACAGTGTCTGGAGGATTTTTGTGCTCATAGGTGAGGCCTGAGGAGCGCAATTAGCCATCTGCAGGCCCCAGCCTGCCTCACAGGCCTGGGGACTCCTGGAAGTGTACAGAGTGGGTCATTCCACAGGAAGGTCTGATCCAGTCTCTGAGAGCCAAAAGCTGCTCCGGGCTTGTGTCCACGGCTGGCCCTGGAACTGGTGTTCCTTCCATGCTCTCCAAGAAGAAGACAGGCCATTTTACTTTGCCTCGGCCTCTCATTCTTCCTGTTTATTAGATAAATAATGCCTGTACAGCTCTAGTGTCTATCAGATAGCAAAT